CCCCAAAACCCCAAAACCCCAAAACCCCAAAACCCCAAGTTAAGATAAGCATTGAATTAGCTTAAAAATTAAAACCTCATTCCTGACATGGTCCCTACTAAAGTATTTCTTTTACCTGCTGTTGAACTGTGTAAAGTCGTTTTCCTATCACAAAAGTTCGATTATGCAAATCAAGAGAGTTCACAGAGAGTTTAGAAATCTATCCTATTAGAATAATTGATTCTACTAATCCTAAAACAGAAGCTCTCTGGGCAGATTTAAACAACAAATTGATCGATTACTTACTTTGTTACTCAAGGATGACCGATTAGATCAGCGGCTCTAGTGCCTTTAGTTTGGCACAAATCACACTTGATTCTAAAGATTTTCTTTGTGCCTCACTTTTGACATCAGCCTTTACTCATAGGTATCCAATCTGGACGCGAATACGATATATATCATTCTTTTCATTGGAAAGAAAGAGAGCCTTCATTGTTTATTTCAACCTTTTTCTCAGCTTTGATTTGGCTAATTCTTCTCTGTTTCCTCTCTTCCTTTGCTCTTCAGTCTTTACATTTTGGAATTATCTTTTTATTAAGAGCTTTTAGGCACTCTTTTCAATGTGGCTCTTTAATATCTCAGTTTTCTCTGAGTTTATGACAGCTCTCGCATCCCACTGCTATTGGAGAATTTTGGAACCCGCATAATCTTCAAGTCCACTTTACTTTTAGTTCATTGAATCTGTCCCGAGGCTTGAATGTGTTGGTAAGCCTATCATCTGTTGTAGATGTAATTCCTGTAATTCCTCTATCAGCCTTAATGGGTTTTGGCTTTCTGCTCTCATATTTTAGAGAGTCAGGACGATTATAAATCTTCTTCTGAAAATATAGCTCTTTTAAAATGTCATTATCCTTAAATCATTTTCTACAGTAATAGTTTTCAATAGAATTAACCATTCTACAATGCTCTCATTCCCATTCATCATCCCTAGGATTACTCCCTGAGTTTCCTGTTGTTTGGTTCAGTTGTCTTGCCCAAGAATAGTAATCAAAATCATCCTCTTCTTCTTTGTGTTCATATGTATATTTGTCTTCTTTATGTTCTGAATTAAAAGTTTTGACGAACTGAGAGCCTGTAGTCTTCCGTTCTTCAACTTCACATTTAAGGGTTTCATAACACTCAAAAATAATGAGAGTAGGGTATACATCTCTATGTTTGATCTCATCAAAGAGTTCGCTATAGTCCTGGACATCTTCTTTGAGATTATATGTTCCGCTATAGAATCCCTGGACTCACTGCTTGCCTCTATGATCCTCATACTTGAATGCTTGAAGAGTGTATACTTCAGAGCAAGAATACTCTGTGTTCCATAGCACTATATGCTTTGGGTAGTACTCCTTTACTCTTTTATCATCTTTTCAGATTTTGAACAGATCACTAACGATGAAATCATTTTTATTCATGATTTTGCAGAATAAATCAAGCATTGGTTTAGTAGACCGAAATGAAGTCTTCGGCTTATAGAGACCAGAAGAAGTAGAAGTAGTTGAGTGGATGTCATCCTCTTCAAAAGATCCCTCGATTTCAAGAGCAAATATCTCTGGTTGGTTGACTATTCTGAGAGTAAGATCCTCTCAGGAATCTTGCGAAACTCCTTGTTCAACAAGATGTTTCAATGCGTACCTTCTGATATCATTTTCCAACTGATCAGGGAGGGGCTTTCTCGTCATTTCTTCGATATTCATTTTATATACCAACGGGAGATCTAATTGTGCAACTTTTGTCTCTCTGCCTATATTGTACTCCACTTTAAAACTAAATCTGGCCATTTTCGAAACTTCAGTATAAGGTGAAATCCAACATTCTGACTTCTTTTCCTCTTTGAATGCATCAAAAACGCATCCTGAATGAAGGCTTTCAAGAAGGAACTTGTAAGAGTATGGAAGGAAGTTAGTATACTTCCTTTTTGAGCTTTCAATGCTCTGATGAAGCAGAGTCTTGAAATCAAGGAAGGATTTAAAAATATCATTCTCTAGTTTTGATTTCAGTTTACCCAACTTTTCCAATTTTTTGCCAAGCTCTGCCTTTTCGCTTCTAAGGGTTTCTATGCTATTGATTGCTCCACTGACTTGTAGATGTCTATTTTGAATATAACTCAAGTCTTTAGTGTTCTTAATAATTATCTTAAATGTCTTCATTAGTTCACTGTCCCGACTGCTAGCTTTGCATGAGGCGAGAATTAAGAAAGAATTAGTAATTTTTGTGTTTATGAAAAGATTGAGAAGAGCTAGTATTTCATTTCCTTCCTTTTCTTCTTTCTTATTGCTCTCAAGATTCGAAGTCACGACGGATTTCAAGTTATTCCTCATATCCTCCATCGTACTATCTCCTTGCATTTTATTGATTATATAATATCAATATTCTTGCTGTCTATTGGGGTTTTGGGGTTTTGGGGTTTTGGGGTTTTGGGGTTTTGGGGTTTTGGGG